ATATTGAACGATTGAGAAATCTGACAGCTTCTAGATCCCATACAGTAAGGATAACATAATTTTATTAGGATCCAATTAAGAGTGCTATCATCCCATCTGAATCCACCACTTCTAAAAAAAAGGCCTTGGTAGGAGGAAGCATATATATAAAGCAGATCTGAGAACTATGGCTAGGACAAAATAAATTAAATACAGTGACCAGCATTTAGGATTGACTGGCAGAAAATGTATTAGAAGCCTACTAAGTTTTTGAGGAAATCTTATGTCAAAACAAAACAAAACACTCAAAAAAATCTATGACTCTAGAACAGACCTCAAAACAACCCTTGGGCAGGAAGACAACTGCAAAAATGTCTCAATTCTCAAGAAAGTCTAGCCATTGAAATGTGGACAGAAGTGATGTATGGTACTTACAGGTTTGGCTATACAAATTTCCCATGCACTGTCTTCCACTGTTTTTTCCCTCTCCATGGTAACTTTGAGGTTAGAGGCTGGATGTGATGGTGACACCAGATAACACCCATCTCAAATATGGCAAGGGAAAGAATAAGACAGAACAAAACCAGCAGCTTTTTGAGTCATCAGGTGAATGGACTAGAGCAACACACCCAAATAGGAATATGTTGCCTCCAAAACCCAAAGAGGCCCAGTAGGTGTTGTCCCGTTCTTGGCTGTAGCAGCAGCCAGATGCAGCAACTTATCCTTTGCCTTAAAAGTAATATCTCAACATGCCCTATACTACTAGATCCCTACAAATTTTACTAAGGTAGAAGGCCCCTAAATTTTAGATTACTTACCCTCTGATATGCAAATGTCTTACCACTAAGTCTAGCTAGAATAGTTGCTACTTCAACCTCATTAATTCCAATCAGCAAATGTCATCAATATAATAAATCAGTGTGATATCGTGAAGGGCAAGGTGATCAAAATCCCTGAAAACTAAATTATGACATAGAACTGGAGAGTTGATATACCCCTGAGGTAGGGCAGTGAAAGTGTATTGCTGGCCTTGCCATCTAAAAGCAAACTGCTTCTGGTGGGCCTTTATGGACAGGTATGGAGAAAAAGATATTTGCCAGATGAACAGCTGTAAAACAGACAGCGGGGAATGTGTTAAGTTGCTCAAGCAATGAAACCACATCTGGTACAAAAGTTGCAACTGGAGTCCACTTGGTTAAGCTTATGATAATCCACAGTTCTTCTCCAACAGTATCACTGTGCAAAAGCAAAGGCCACCACAAAGGAGTAAAAATTCCTCCATCCCCACCTGTTATTTATCTTCTAAGAATCTGCTGTATACACAGGCAAACATACCCTCTTTGTTGGGTTTTTAAAAAATATACATATGGTATAATACTGTTCTGCAACTTGATCACTTCACTCAATAGTATCTCATGGACCCTTCCAGTGCGGTATATACAGACCCGACTCATGTTTAATGGCTGCAAGTTCAGTGAAATGGATATACTGTAAATTATTAACATTAAACCAATCTCTTTACTGATCGATATTTAGGTTGATTCCATTATTTTGCTATTACAAATAATGCTGAAATAAACATCCTTTCACACATAATTTTTATATATAAAATATAAATTATAAATGTAATATACATATTTACTTGCATTTGTAGGCCTGATTCCTGGGTGAAAGGAAATGTCCCACCTTTCCACCTCCTTCTTTAGGACAAATTTCTGAAAAAATTCCTTGTTAATCAAGAAATGACTTCAGTTTCAAAATATGCTGAATGCATTCAGTTTCCAGTAGCTCTCAGCACACACTATATATTAGGACTTGGTAAACTTGAGGACCGAAAGGACTTCTTGACCTGCTTGCCTGGAAAGTGCAGTGGTCCCTTGTAGACCCTTTGTCTTCATTGCTTTTAAAATTTCTTCTAAAATGAAAATCAAAATAAAAGATAAAATCCATTAAATCATTTGATGATGTGTATGATCACAGAGTTCAATAAGATGATAAACACAGACTATTTACAAATTATATTCACCTGGTAAAACAATGTATACCAAGCAAATGTCTACTGAAATGAACCTGAACTTCAGACAGATGGGTACACTTTGCGTTTTCAAGGTGTTGCTGAGGATTCTAGTCACACTGAATGTCTTGCTTCGTTCGCAGTGGCAGCCTACTGTGAACTCAATAGAAACATTAATTATACCTGTTATTATGGCAAGTGATCAGTGTTTTACTTATTGGCTCCAATCTCTACCCTATATTCTTCCCTTTGGATGAGAAAGGTCAATTAAGGTATGGACAAACTGAATAGTGATATTGCACAGTGAGAGTAAATAAAGTACCTTCTCTCTTTCAGGCATATTGAGAAAAGCAAAACCTTCCTTTTATAAATAAATAAAACTAAAAAGACAGAACTAAAAAAATGGAGTTACAAAAAAAGAAAAGAAAAGAGAAAGAAAAAAGAAAGAAAACTAGTAATCATATTGTGATTTGAGGGGTTGAGAATATAAGGTGTAAGATAAAAATCAAACTTGAGGTGTACAGAAAAAGAAAACAAAGATTATGGTCAATTTAGCTATAATCTGAAAACCAAGATATAAAAATCCATACAATAAAATAAATATGATAAAACTTCAGATGAACTAAAGAGTATATAGCAGAATTGTCAAGGGCATGAAGACTAGAGGGTAGAAAGAAAATTCACAAGACTGAGAGTGTGCTGTTAGAAGAAATTAGAGATTTTGTATTTGAATATTAGTTTATGAATGGGGAAAAACTGACAACAAAAAGAGAAGACAATATTTTTTAAAATGAAAAAGAATTTATCTCTTAAAATCTCTTTCCTCTTTCAACATGAATTTATGCCTGTACTTGCCGTCAGTGATTAAATTCATTAACATGCCACATTACCTTATAAATTATAGTCTTTTACATTGTTAACTTGATTTCAGCAAAGTAAATGGTTAAATGATAAACTGGCATGTATTACCTGGATTGTTTTCTTTAATGGTAACTAAATAGAATAATCCTCTTGGTGAAAGGAGATCTGAAGCCAGTGGAAAGAACCGGTCCATGACTTCTCGACCATTTTTGCCACCAGCCCATGCTGCCGCTATTCCGTGACTTCCTACCTACGACAGATTGGAAAGACTGTTTTTTCTTTTAGCTCATGTCAATTTTCATTTAGATCATAAACTGAATCTTTTTGACAAGTAATATCACCAAACAAGTATATATTTTCCATTTCACTGCTGACAAAAAGGCAGGAAAGTTGAATCTAATTTCCACTGTTTCCAGTTTGTATGACCTTGGGTAAATTAATAATCTTTGTCAATTAGTTTCCTCACTTATCTGTAAAATTAGAAAAATAATAGTTCCATCTATACAATCAGAAAACTCATAAAATATTTTTATCCACTATTAGGAATAAATGAGGAAATATATTTAAATTTTTGAGAACATTACCCTGCACATATTAAGGGCTTACTAACAGTTGTTACCATTAATACAATGTTTAAATTGAGAGATATGGGTAGCTTTTATAGCTACCCATAAAAAAGCTATAGCTTTTTTTAATTCTTCTATAATATAGAAGAATTAGAAGCTAGAAGGGGGGGAGGTTGTATTATAAGAGATCTACTGCACAGAAACAAAGTTCTAAAATGTCCCAATGCACCTGACTCGCTTCTAGATTAAAGTATGAAACACAGACCTTTTTAAAGAACCTGTTTATTATATAAAGGTACACTGAAGCATTTTTCCTCTAACAATCTAATTGTATTCTTAAAACAAAATCCATGACTTTATGTAGTATGCAAATCCTTACCATTATGCATTTTTTTTCAAAATTAAGGAATATTTTGAAGAAATCACTCAAGAATTACTTTAACTCCAACACGACCATTTTCTTCCTATTTCCTTCTATGGCTTTTGTCCATCTTTTAGTTTAAGTTATTTATATACAATCATGCTTTCTATTTATTCATGTAATATGGCACATATTTCCCCATTAAAAAATCATTCCTTTATAGCTATAACCATATGCATATATAACCTTACAAAGAAGAGAAATATGTTAATATACCTGCTTTAAAAAAGTCACACTTTTTCCTTTCACTATTTTGCCTGTGTGCCTCTCCACTATCTTCTACACACATAGGTTTTTCTTTTTTGTCCATGTTTTACAAAGACAGGATTATATTCTATAAACTTACATGCATCTTGCTTTTCTCACTCAACAATACCTTATGGAAGTCTCTTCTGATACAGTTCTAGTTCATTCTTTTAATGGCTGTATAATATTTCATGGTGGGAAAGTATGATATCTTATTTAGCTATTGATGGCATTCCCTACGTCCATTTTCTTAATTTTCTCTGAATCTAATTATTCCCATGCCTATCGTAAGTCTCTCTATACAATTTTCCACAAAGTTAATCATATTGGAAAATTTATCAGTTCCTGTTTTTTGTCGAGACTTTCCTTCTAGAGACTTCTCTTTTCTGGTATTGCCTTTGCTTTTCTTCTCAGTTGAACTCCCTCTTTTTCCGGGACTCATGGCTTCCTCTTCCTTCATTTACACCCTTATTTTGGTGAAGCCCATTCTCTGGATGTTTCATCAAGTAAGATAGTCTGTGGCCAGTGTGCACGATGATGACAGCCTCTACCAGGCTTGTCTGTTGTCACTCTGCTCCAATATGGATCAGGGTCCCACTGTGGCGTGACTCTCCAAGGATGCTCAGCCACGTTTATCTGCTCACACTAGACATGACTCTCCAGGAAGATGGCCTGGTACCAGCCACATTCTTACAGGCCACAGGAGGGAGATTTCTGTCTTCACGAGGCAGCAGTCATGTTTGGTGGCCTTCTGTTTGCCTGCTACCTGGGCCAACTGCTGTGTACACTTCTGATCCTTCAGAGACCACAGGCACATACCAACAGCACCTTATTTCGTGTTCTTGAAGATACCAGTAAGTACGGTCACAACTTTTTATGAGTACAAACTCCTGTTATTTGTATATTACGTCTCCTAGATCTCTAAGTCTCTTATCTTTTACCTTCATGATTTTCTTCTCTTTATCTTCATGCTCTGTGCACTGAAATGATTCTTTCATTGGGTTTCCAGACCACTGATTAAGGTCTTGACAGTGACCATATTCTCTCTTAACTCATTTCTTAATGTTTTATTGTGTAAAACATGTTTTCAAGCTCCAAGACATCTTCATTGTATTGTATTTTGCTCCTGCTCTCTAGCTAATTGCTCAGCTCATGGGAATTAGGACACTAGTTCTCTTTGTTGGGACTGCAAAAAAGGCCCAAGGCATTGCCTTCCTCAATCATCTTATGTCCCAGCAGCCATAAGGCTCAGGAGAAGCACATATCTTAGTCCAAGGAACAGGGGACAAAGGAAGCCCTTTGGAGTCACTGTGTTCTCAGAATCGCCTCTTCTCATTCACTAGTTGTCCCACTAGTTTGCAGACCTGATAGACTGTGATTTACTTAACTGTTTCTCTACTGCTACGTATATAGGTTCACATTTGCCATCATAAATAAAGATGCAATAAGCATATTTTTGTGAATTTCAATTTTTAGTCTACTATTGAATGATTTTCTTAAATTTCAAGAACTGAGATTATTGGACTGAAATATTTCTATCACACGATATTTATTTCTGGAGTGCTTTCCAAAAGAGTTGTATTAAGTTGCATTTTTCTCAACTGCTGTTCACCTTACGACAATGGCGTCCTTCCTTCTTATATGAGTTTGTACGTCAGTAGAGTAACAGCTTTTTCATCACTTAACTGCC